TTTAACGACTTAATAAGTTACCTAGCGAAAAAATCTGTGCGCGTACCTACCACTATTGTTACAGGTTAATTCGTTAAAGAAATATGTTACACAAGTTAAAAACGCTAAAATTTTAATGGTATTACTTGTGCATTATTGGCCTTATAATGTAATTTGTTGGAATTATATCTTCTTTAAATATAATTAGACTTTTTAACGACTTTTAAGTTACCTAGGAAAAAATCTGTGCACGTACCTACCAGTATTGTTACAGGTTAATTCGTGAAACAAATGTGTTACATATTATTCGTGGTATTAGTGGTATTATATTGGAATCAGCTTGGCATTAGTGGGGCATTATATGAGAAATTTTGGTATTTAATTTGTATTTTTGGCATTACTTTGGCATTAGTATACAGACATTTGTCAGCGGTTTACTCCTTGTAGATAATCAAAAAGTTTTTTGATAAAATTTGCTTTTCATGTCAGATCATTTCTATGAAAAATTACATTAGATTTTTATTAAAGACGCTGGGTAATTAAAACATTGACTAATAAACCTTGTCCACTTTAAATACGGGGTCACGAAATATCCTCCTTGGAGTGTTTGGGTTAAGGGGTGTATAATAAATTAATCGTTGTTTTATAATAAAAACCATAAAACATTTATTTGTGAGTAAAATAATGCAATGGTTGGATATCTCTCCTTTATAATTCGGTGACTAAAAATACACTAAAATAATTAGAAAAAAAATCTTGTACTTATTTAGTAATTACGTCAATATTAATTAATTGACTTTCTAGTCTATTTTATTTTATGTACAAATATATTATTAAATTTTAAGCATTAAGTAATAAAACACTTTGTGCCCTCTTATATCGTAAAAGGTTACGAAATATACTCCTGGTTACACCCCTTACAGAAAACAGTGTAAGGGGTGTAAATAAATTGTATAATCACTGTTTTTTATAATAAAAACTATAAAATATTTCTTATTTGTGAGATTAAAAAAACAAAACAATGCATTGGTTAAAATAAGTACATTCAATACTGTTTTCAATTGTTAATTCAATAATGTGTTATAACATAATATAGCCATTACTATTATACTATTATTATTAAAATAATATGTGTGTAACATATTTCTTTAACGAATTAACCTGTAACAGACATTTATATGCCCAGTATATTTTTGTTTAACAAACCAATCAGGAAAAATCCAAAACCTACCGTTATAGGAGGTATAAGACGATTAAACTTATATAATGACAACTACTTATCGGATAACAAATTAATTACTACTGTCAGCTAGTTCAGCTACTGTCTAGGTAGAATTTACCTAGAGTACCTACACCTACCTATGATGATGTAGGTAGATTAAAGCTTATTTTGACGTTACCTCTCACTTCGGTGTCACAAGCTGAATTTTTCAGGGATGGAAGTACAGTACATCACAGTACATGATATGGGGACCCTTATTCCGAAAGTAGTACAAAATTAAACAGGGTAAAAAGGCACTATCATCAAAAATCGATATATTAATACCACCGTATAGAGAAAACAAATACTTATTTTTTGATCCAGTACAGAATAAAGTCTTCGTAGGGAGTAATTTTTTATAATTATTTACAAAAAAACATTTCCATTAGCGCTTATGACCAAAAAAAAACTTTAAACATGAATAATCATTTCAATCATGCGAAAATTTGGTTTAAAAATAGAGATTTTTTTTTAATATAACTTTCATTTAACGAAAAACGAAGGCCTAAATGAAAAAAAGAAACAATTTAAAAGTTTCGCTCATGTCTTGACAAGGTATCAAAGCAAACCCCATATTTTTTGCTTTTAAACTAATAAAGATATATCAATAAACAATTAGCGATGTAATGGTTTTTGCGCGCGCTGGCCGACTGCCGCCGCTGCGCCGAGATTTCCTATACCCTTGTATATATGACGTCATGGTGTGGCAAATGTAGCATTTTAATTCGATTTGGGCTCCCTTATATAGGATAACAGAAACATTTTCAATGTTAAAAAACTGACTACGCCACTGGATTGTGCTTAAAAAAGTGCCTGAAGGACGTTTTTACAGAATTTTATTATTCCGCGAAATACAAAAGTTATGGTCAATTTTCCAAATGGTAAAAAATTAAAAAAGACCCCTATCTCAGTCAGCAGTGAAAATACCAACAGGCGGTTTACTCCATTAAACGTGTCTCAGAAATCGAGCCCATGACATTTAAGTCGGTTTTGCTCTATCTAGTCAGGAAATAGGTTTTATCTGTTAAAACAGACCAATTTCGACCACCCTGTACATTGTACCTGCAGTTTGAAAGTTAGTAAATTCGGTACGTTATAAAGTATTTAGTTATGGACTGTTTAATTTGCAGAAAAACTATAAACGAAAATGATAAGTTTTTTATTAAAAATCCTACTATACGAGACTTAAAAACTATCATAAATGCTGTGAAAAAAAGGCAAGATCTAGGCCTAACCTAACTGGACGTGTTTTTGGTAGGCTCGCCCGACTGCGAGACATTAGCTCTGATTTATAAATTTCGACTATTTTGACTAACTTAACCTAAGCGATCACCGGGTACTTTTTACTACTACCAGCGACCAGTCGCTGGTTAACTTAGCTCAATTGATACGCCGCCGTACGTCTATTAAATAGTTGCAACGTTTCCTATGTTCCTTTTGGAATGTTTATTTAATATTTAATATGACTATATGATTATATCCCGTTGCGAGAGCCGCTCAAATATTCTTATTTCTCACATAATAAGTTTATATCTCTGTTTATATTTTTATTGTATTGATCTGTGCTTGTGAACGTGAAAAAAATTATGAAAGTGAAATATAATTCTATAAGAATTTCAAAATAAAAGTGGAGATATGTAAAAGTTTAAAGGAAGAATATAAATTACATATTTTTAATTGAAGCAAGCATTTTTTGCCTTTCTCTTGTGAACTTTTTTAGGATACGCGAGTACGCGCTGATAAGTAATTTTTAGTCGATCGACTATTTAGTTTCAAAAGTGAAACAATACATTCTTATGGAGCCGAACGGCCTAATATTTGATTACATTGCGTAGCCTTAGGCTGTGCGGTGACAGGCAATTTTTAATCGGCCGACTGTTTAGTTGCATATTTGTAACGGATATATCCTTATGGAGCCGCGCTCACATGCAATCAAATAGTCGGCCGACTAAAAATCACAGGTCAGCATAGGCTTATTGTATTGAATTTTCCTTCACAGTATCCATACCGTAAAATGGGGTGAATAGAAACATAGTGGTGAATAGAAACAAAATTTCTGAAAAAAATCAAATCACGATTAAAAATATTCAAAGTAAAAAGAGTCGACATATCTAATTTTTCTATCATTGGTAATACACAATAAAATGTAAAAACTATATTTTTATCTGTGGCAGCACTGTTTCTGTCAATCAGCTCATCAATAAATGTGAGATCGATTTATCACCTATTTTGTATGGCGCGAAAACTTTATAAATAAAATATTTATTTTTAAAGTAATACATAAGCCGGTACATATAAATTGTTATATTATATGTATTGTTAATTATTGTTAAACCTACTTAAATATGTAATAATTTACTGTTTCTAATCACCTTGTTGGAAATAGAATAGATAAAAACCTTAACATAATGTGTGTTTCTATTCTCCCGAATAGCAGGTGAATAGAACACAAATGTTATTTTTATTTAATATTTATATGCATATTTTTCAAAAATCAAATTATATGTATACGCAAAGAACAAACAAAGACCCATGTTTTAAAATATTCGGGAAAATAATACCACATTTTTATCAACCGGTATATCGCTAATAGCCTACGAAACTGTTTCTATTCACCCCATTTTACGGTACTATTTAAAATCGTAAGTCAGGGAATTCAAAGTCTTGTTTTTCAAATTAATATTTTTTTAGAAAATATGCGATAATAATTGTTTTGAGTCGTTTATTAATGCGAATGCCTGATTACAACTAATATATATAGTTACAATTGAATATAATTATTACAAGTCTGTGTAACATAAATAAGAAATTCATAATTCTTTGTTTAATTTGCCCAATGTTAGTTACATTTTTCATTTTTTTTAAACATTGATATTTGCAAAATTCTATTAATTTTCTGAATGTGAACACGAATAAATCACTAGTACGTAATAACATGTAATAATTACCTTATTATACTTATTTACTAATTTGAAATTATGAACTATAAAATTTACGGGTTGCCTGTACAATATAGACAATATACCTTTAAGAGTTAATTTATAATTAACTTATAATTTATTTTCATTACATTATACAAAAAATTGAAATCTGATTATTCACAGTTATTATCAAAAAATTAATGTGCATATTATAATCAGTAATATTTCTGTATTTCCTATTTACACAAAATTCACATAGAATTCCGTTATTTCTTTTTGAATCTAGTGATTTTTGGGCTGGTAACACTGGGAACGCTGTATCGATCGGTTGAAGAAAAGCGTTTTATAAATTTTATTAGTCATTTTATATTGTCATGATTGTCATATTCTTTGTTTATTCTCAGTAGCTATTATTAATGTTTTGATTATTGCATTGTTCTTTAAACCTCAATTATTTTACGTGTTTTTTGTTTGTTTTTTTTAGAATTTATTTGGTTTAAATTTTCGTATTTTGGATATTTGTTCTGATATTTCGCAATGTTTTGGTATGTATTAAATATCGTTAATTTACTTAATACTCTACAATCAAAAAGTGTCTTGTATAATCAAGGGGGCTTTGATTATGACAAAGCATGCATGATCATTGATCGCGATGTACTCGTACTTTAAAATTAAAGTAGATGTGAACCTTATGTACTGAATTCATGAAATAATTTATACATATATTTTTCATTGGTTAAATTATTTGAAACTTATTTTAAGTACTAATAGACAGTTCTGATATGTTAGGCACATTGTAAGCAATTAAGTGTTTTTTTACAGTCGATATTTTTTTTCAGGTTATGAAGTATATGTCTAGTCCTTTAGAAGTTCACAAAGGTGTAGAATTCAAGAGCGATTGCAAAATGTGTCAGAACCCAACAACTTTTTCTGTCTGCAATACATGCAAGAAATTTCCTATACATTGTGTCATATGTAATATTTCAGTAAGGGGTTTGGCCAACACGTGTCTTGCTTGTGGCCACGGTGGACACACTGCCCATCTAAACGAATGGTTTAAAACTAGAAAAATCTGCCCAAAATGTGGTTGTTCTTGCTTAACAGAGACTGCAATTATCGTGTATGACTAATAGAACTGTGATTAACCCTGTAGCTGTGTTATGCTGGATTCGGAGTTCTGTAGCCGTAAAAGTTATAGTATAGGTATACCGGGTGCGTCTCAAAAGTGGCTCACCCCTATAATTTTTTTATTTTTCCAGTTAAAAAACCAGATTTGGTATGTTAGTATTCCTATGACATACTAAATTAGGATTGATTGACTTATTCAAATGTTTTCGGTCACTTCCTGTTTCACCGGAAATGACTACAACTTTTGATTTTTAAATGGCACCCTCGGCATTTTTTACTTTATTCGATAGAAAATAACACTCTCCATAGAATGACATCATATGTCAACTTTTGACATTTTCGCATATTATATTATTCGGTTTATTTGAAATTATAACTTGCGGTTCGTAACCAAATTTAACTCGAAATACCAAGTGTGTGGTATCAAATTATTCGTAAAAAAATGTTTTTTCTAAATATGCTAATGAGCCACCCTCATTCCATTTGAAACAATTGAGATATGATTAAAAATACGATTTGTGCATTTTGTAACTGGCCAGGACAAGACACTAAAAACATTTGACGATCAAATCTATTTTTCCAAGGCTCCTTGATTAATAATTAGTGTTTTTAACATAGCCAACGATTTTTTATTAAGCGAGAATGTCAAAAGTTGACATATGATATGTCATTCTACTCAGAATGTCATTTTCTACCGAATAAAGGAAAAAGAAATACCGAGGGTGCGTGCCATTTAAAAATCAAAAGTATTAGTCATTTCCGGTGAAACAGGAAGTGATCAAAAACAATTGAATACGTCAATCAATCCTAATTTATGTCATATACCAGCATACCAAATCTCGTTTTTTTATCTGAAAAAATAAAAAAGTTATAGGGGGTGAGCCACTTTTGAGACGCACTCAGTAGAGCAAGCCGTATCGTTAAGACGTAAAGGATATCGATCTTCACAATCAAATAACTCCATTCATAGATATCCGTATGCCGTAATACTTAAGAAATAAACAAATTTTAATTCTTACGTTACATCTTATAGATCTTGTCAGCTAGGTTCAGTTTTACTCGGTGGCCATTTCTACAATATTTATAATATACACTCACCGGGCAAAAAAAACCGGCCACTAAAAACTAGTCCCAATTTCAAAATTGGATTTCTTGCGAACCATTCATTAGATTTTGATGATTTTTTTTTAAATTGTAAACTAATTCCTTCTTAACGGATGCTACGTCAGCAATTTTTATTCTGAATTTATTTTGAGCATACACAGGGCACAACAATATGATGAAGTTTTTTGCCTGAACTTTGTAACACCCTGTAGGGTGCAGTGCAGCAGCTGTAGTAGCTATTGCTAAATCAAATCACATTGTAGCCTCATCTTTTGTGAGTATTTTGTTTTTTTAATCACGACATTATCTCTGTTTGTATTGAAGATACGCTGCTTTAAAACAAGCGCCTCGAAAAAAGCTTTAAAAACAAATCAAACATCAAAACGTAGGTAAGTTTAACCTGAAAACTAACTAAAACATGAAAATTAAAAAAAAAGCAAAGAAATTTTAAGGGACTAATATCTAGGTCCACTCGGCTGGTGAGATTTCCCGTTTCCGGAACGGGACATAACGGAGACATAACGTTGACTTCGGCCATCCTCAATTAAAGCCACAATACGAACAACATCCGTTACAGATGACATTTTTTAATTTGACAACCGTTTTTGTCATATTGCAAATATTCATAAATCCGTTTTCGCGTATGTCGCCTTGATTATTTACACAAAACTTTCTGCCTGCGAAGAATTTTCGGAGACGTTCGTTTTAAAACACCATATCTCTAATACAAAAAGAGATAATGTGGTGATTAAAAAAACAAAATGCTCACAAAAGATGAGGCTACAATGTGATTTAATTTAAAAATAGCTCCTACCGCTGCTGCACCCTACAGGGTGTTACAAATTTCGGGCAAAAAACTTCGTCTTATTTCTGACATAGCATCCGTTAAAAAGGAATTAATTTACAATTAAAAAAAAAACATCAAAATCTAATGAGTGGTTCGCGAGAAATCCAACTTTGAAATTGGGTCTAGTTTTTAGTGGCCGATTTTTTTTTGCCGGTGAGTTTATTTCACTTCGGCAACAAAAATCGTATCGTCCGTCCATTTTAGTTAAATTAAATTAATAATAACAAAATAAATGAGGAATATTATAGTTCTATTCACAACTCAAACAAGATAACCTATTAAAAACGGTAATGCGCACGCTTACGGTTTTCTCATCGTTAGTCTTACGGCAACTATGAATCACTTTCCTCGCGTCTTAAGTCTTACGGCTACCAATACGGCTTACGTCTTACGGCTACGGAACTCTGAATCCAGCATTAGTTGTACATTTTGATCTAAAAGTTTTATGATCAAATTAATCTTACAGTTAAAAATTTGAATGATGTTTCCTATAAGAATTTATCATCATCAAAAAGTGCAAATGATAATAAAACGATTTGATCATACTGTATACAGGGTGTTTTAAAAAGCCTGTGCCATCTCTTGTGGAGAGATTCCTCTCGTAAACGTAAAAATAAGATTTGGAAAATACTTCACTAACTTCACTTTAAGACCTTTTTTACTGGGCTGTTAGTTTAGCCCGTTGATAAATAAATAAAATAAAAAAAAACATAGGTCAGATTCTGCTTTGTTTCGTTGCTACAGGGTTGGGTTGAGTTAAAGTCTTCTTCTAAGTGCTTTTAGCGATTCGAATGAAATTTTGAGGGTAAAAGTTACTACATACATATAAGTTCGACATATTTTAATGGTAAAAAAGTGTCGACATATTCACCAGGGGCGTGCAGAGGGGTTATCACTGGAATATTTTTCTAAAAAAAAATTTGCGCCACTGACTTTTTTTCTTTTGTTGGCAAAATTGTATAGACCGTTAAATGCTGATTAAAAGTTGTCTCTAAAAATTTGGCGATTTCGGCCGTCTTGGTGAGATAAACGCAATTTTATTAATTTGCATTGATACAAGTCTAGCAACCTTTAAAAACTTTTAATACCATTAACTTGCCAAAATGTTAAATAAGTACTTATTGATTCCTCATCAAAAAATATAAAAAAAATCATATAAACATGGGTGCGGAAATGCATAGTTTTAAAGTTACAGGATGTTAAAATTTAAAAAAAAAAATAGACTTTTTTTAATTATACAATCATTTTTTGGGGGAATTTGCTAGAGATGGCACTCAGTGTTATAAAGTTTAATAAAATTTAGTAATAAATTACATTAAATAACTAATTTGTTAATTTAATTTTTATTTTAATTATATTGTCATTAATAAAATTGCATTGATCTCATCGAGAAGATCGAAATGGACAAAATATCAAAATACAACTTTTAATCGGCATTAAATCGCCTACACACTTTTGCTAATAAGAGGGAAAAAATCAGTAGAGCTCATGTTTTTTTGGAAAAATATTCCAGTGATAACCCATACGCACGTCCCTGGTGAATCTGTCGACTCTTTTTAGCATTAAAATATGTAGCACCCATAGTTCAGATCATACAGATTATAAACTTTGTTTTTTCTTCATTGTTTTTCGTGGTTCCAATTTTCGGAATCGGGTACTAGTTAGGTTACTAGTTTGCGCACATAGCACGCTCGCTTATGGCCTCTAAAATTGTGCACAGCGCCTGACCGGCACAGTTATTAGAGAGATATCGGAAAACCGAATAGCGTCATGCAGTATTTACGCGTACCTTATCATGGTTACGATATGCGCGAGACAACACCCGCTATTAACGTTACCGTCTGACGTAATTTGCGGATCAATTACACCAAGCGCTATTTCTAAATAACGTTTAAAAATTGCTTAAATGGGCGATGTCTTTTATTTTAGGTTATGTTTGAATTGTTTTGAATTATTACATTAGTTTTATTAGGTAATTTGATATTTAAGTAGCTGGGATTAGTTTTAATTTAATAAATATGGCTCAAAATATGGATTCCACCTCTTCCAATATTAAAGAACCTATAAAGAGGCTTAGGTTTACAGCAGATGACGACTTAGCCCTTCTAAGAGAATTTGTTGCTTGTTGCCCTAAACCCACTGACAGACGCTGAACAATAAAGTACCGGAAATAAGCACTTTAGCCCTTTAGTTTTAAAATACCTAGTAAACAAAACAATTTCAAAGTTTTAAATTCAAAGTTAGGTTAAGTTTAAATGGCGGACGCGACGCGAACAGAATTCTTTCCGATCCGATAAATCCGATATCAACTATAAATGAAGAGAGTTAATACCACCTCACGTAAAGGAAATAACACCTGGCCTTATTAACGTCCATGCACGCTATTCGGTTTAACGATATCTCTCTATTATGCTGTTTATTGTTATTTTACGCGAATTTATTTTTGCGCACAAGAAATTTTACTCGTTTGCACATCGTCATAAAAACAATTTTCGTTCCACGAATTAGGGATAAGATTTTTATCTGTATAAGTTTTGCCCTCCAAATTTCGGAAGAAAATTATAATAAATCGAAAAAAACTTTAACGATGGTAAAAATCGATAAAAAACTTTAACACCCTGTAACTACGAAACAAAGCAGAATCGGACCCATGTTGACATAAAAAATAAATCTTATTTTTAAGCGAGGAATTTCCCTACGAGAGATGGCACATGCTTTTTTGAAATACCCTGTTTATCTAGTACTTATCAACCCTGTATATACATTATTAATACCTACAGGGTGATTCTTAACCTATACGCATAAAGTTGGAAAATTATTGCTGATGACAAATAATGACTAATAATAATGACTAATCATTCAGAATCAAATAATGACTAATAGTTCAGTCATTTTGCTTGAAAAAAAGTCCGGAAATTTTGAAACTTTGCAGGTTTATAGGTTATGGGGTTCCTAACTAAAATCCATAAAATGCACATTTCCAGACTTGCCGCCGGCGCGGCGCCGCCATCTTGCCAAGATGGCGCCTAAAATCGTTATTT